AAGTGTTGTACCTCGGAGGAAAAGGCTTTAAGAGCCCACTTTCAAAGAGAAATGGTAACAAGTCTGAATATGAGATCGGAATCGGAGGTGTCATCTTCTTCTTTTTTTTATTCTTTTTGGTCTTCTTTACTCGCATTTGAGCCTCCTCTATGCCTCTTTTCTTTGAGTCCGACTTCACTTTCATATTAGAAGTTTCACCCTTAACTTTTGCTTTTCCCAGTATGATCTCCGTAGCATCTTCTGGAATCTTACTTGATTTTTGGAGTTGACTTGAATTACCACATCCCCTAATAGGTTCTTGATTAGTTGCTATCATCACATTGGCTGCACCACTAACATTCAGATTCTCACCCGAAGTCTTCATCTGTTCTTGATCATTTGCTATCATCACATTGGTTGCACCACTAACATTCAGATTCTCACCCGAAGTCTTCATATTTTCTTGTGTAATAGGGTCATCTGATGATTTCTCCCCATATATCACTGTAATCATCATGCTCATCAACTTGGACATCTGTCCCATGGATTCAACTTGGAACTTCCTTGCTTCATCAATCATTTCTTGTTGGGTCTTTACGAGCTGTTCTTGAATTCTCTCGATCTTACTAACTCATGCTAAGATCTCATTCATTGTTGTCTATCTTTCCAGAAACACGTCTCAGGGTAACTTTAATTTAATTTCAGAGCTTCTGCCACATCATCCTTCACGAGTTACTCTCATATTTTCATGATTTATGCATGTAAAAGTGCTTAAATGAAAGCGATGAGAATGCAAATGTGGATGCAAAATGCAAATGCAAAAGGTGTTAATCCCAAAAGTGACCACTATAGAACAACCTTCATTTAGACAACAAGATTTCATTACACCATGTAATCAAAATAAAATTGTGATTCTTCATTTCCTTGAACCGTACTCTTCATGGAATCTGGCATTGCATATCCAAAATGGTCGGCGTATTTGATCACATTTGATGAAATCGATTGTCCTTGAATTGAATCTTGGGATCTCCATCTCCACTTTCAATGGAAAGTGCTCTTCACGTCTTTATGAAGGGTCTTTTCGTCCTTGGCATTACTGTATCTATCTCCTGAGGGAAGATCTTCATGATGTCTTTCTTTGTGGATCAGTCTTCAATCAGTTTCAAATTTCTTCATTCATCGGATGTCATTCTTCATGAATCGTTCTTCAGTTAGGTTCAAATTTCTTCATTCGTCAAATGTTCTTCTTCATGAATCATCTGAATGCCTCTGGATCTCCAGATTTTGATTACATGGTTAAGAATTTCTTGTCTCATTATGACCAGCCTTCTTATTAGTCAATCACTTGTGAATTAACACCTTGTGATGACATGAAGATGTGAATGCAATAAAATCAAAATAAAATAGACATAGAACAAAAATGGGTTAGTGCACATAATATAAACAACAAAATAAGTACCATAAACATCAAATAAAACCTACCCTCACATGCTGGCTACCCAATCATGCTTTAGTAGATCCTACCCAACATGATATCTACCCCCATGCTTTGTTTGAGCATTAAAACCCTAACCTCCATGATATCTAATTCGCATGCTTGCTTGACAAATAAACCTAACCGCATGATATCTAGTTCACATGCATTTATTCGAAAAAACGAAAATGAATGTCTCAAAAAGCTTTTCCTTGTGTACCCTCCTCACGGGACTCTTAAGGTTCGGGTTTGGCTCGACCTAAGTTTGGGATCTATGTTCACTATATGCTTGGTTCGGTTCTAAAGTAATAGGTTCTCGAATTGTCCTTGCCGGTGCCCCATTGGGCTGCCGAACCCTCAATCCTAGTCCATCACAGGCTTTAAGGGATCGAGTTCAATTTCGAGGGAACACACTTCCTTATGTCCATGCGGAGGTGAATACCATCACGAGGACCATAAGGCGTGAGCTCCAGGAGCGATCCACTATCCCATGCGGAGGTGAAAACCACACGAGGGCATAGTCTCTCACTCCTACTTAATTAGGATAGAGCGGGGTTTTAGCTCATGTCATGAAAATGCAACTGTGCAGTGTGTGAGGAAAAGCGAAAAAACACATAATAAAAGCACTCAAAAATCAATTCACAAATAATCTGAAACCATTAGCAAACAGATCAATACAACTATTTAATTGTTAATCGAATTAAATCAAAATACAAACAAAACTTATTAAAAACCAAACAAGGGATAAAAAATCAAATTAAAACAAATTTATAACTTTCAATTGCAAAGACATTTAATTAATCGATTATCAGCCTGACTCTCTAAAAATAAAGTCCCCAGCGGAGTCGCCAAGCTGTCGAAACGATTTTTTTCTTAAAAGGTGAAAAAAGGTGAGATTTTGAAAACCACATTAATTCTTAATTATCTATTTTTAATTTAAAAACAAATGCGATTTAAAAGACCTCTTGTTTCGAAAATTTTTGGATTTCCTTTACGATCGAACAATACGGTTCAAGGAGTCGCCACCAATCTTTGATTAGGGTGTGATTGAGCACCCAAAAATGCTTTGTCATTTTAAATAAAAATTAATTTTAATTAAAACAACAAATTGAGGTCTGCGTTACCAAAATCCGAGTTCGGGAGTCGGTTACGTGTGGGGAAGGATTAGCACCCCCACAACGCCCTAAATCGGTACCTAGTCGATTAATTAACGTTTTTACAATGAACTTTACAAATTCGAACTTAATTTAATTTTTGATCCCATAAAACAAAAATGTAAATTTAAAACATTCAAAAACACTCAAACAAATTAAATTAAAATTACCAAGTCATTTTAGAAAGATAAAGAATGTTCGATTATTTACAAATATCGAGACCAGATCTGAAAGATATAACAACCTTTTCTCGATATATTTAAATAAACGAACATTTCTTTTTCTCTCGTTCCCAAATTTTAGGTGACGAATCAATTTTTTGGTTTCACTTTCGGGATACACTTTTAATTTAAAATCATTAGAAGCGGACTTCAAATCAGTTATGACAGCCCCCTTGAAACAATTTTAAATTAAAAGTATATTACCCTTAATCCAATTATGAATATGTCGAGTTATGCAAGTGAAGTTATCATGCAAATTATGCAAAAATGATGTCATGTAAAAATTAATTAAACATGCGATTAAAATAAATGAGTAAATAAATCTAAAGCTAAAATTACTATTAAACAAAGACCACAAAAAAAAACTATCAATGCATTACATATACCAAGATCAACATAAAACTGAGACCACTTGTAAAATTAAAATGAAAACCGAGAAAATGTTATGCCAAATATGCAACATCACATAAACTTAAAATAACATACCCACATGACTAAAATGTGACATGCAAAAACCTTAAAGTCTAATATCTAAACAACGTAAATTAAACAAATCAATATTTAGGACGAAAATTAAATGAACATAAAATAAATAGACATAATTAGATACATGCAAATTTCTACCTAGGGACTAAACTGTAACATGCAAAAATTAACAATTTAATGTTTAAAATAGCAAAGATTAAATACAAGAATACTTATGGCTAAAATTAGATGCGGGTAAAATAAAGAGACAAAACTATAAACATGCAAATGTTGATTTATGGACTAAAACGAACATGCAACCATTCAGAAGTTAAATGTCTAAAATAACAAAAACTAAATAACATAACATTTGGGACTGAAAATTAAAACGCATAAAATAAAGATGCAAAATTGGAAATAGGAAAACATTCGGTTTGGGGACAAAAATGAAAACAAACACAAGAACTATAGGGATTAAACGAAATTCTAAGGACTCGGTGGCTAAAAGCTAATTAACCCTAAAATTTTAACATATAACCTAAACCTAAACTAAAAAACACAATTCACGTGGAACATATTCAGCTTCCTCCCCTTCTCTCCACTTTCCATCTCTCCCTCAGCCACACACAGTACCGTTCAACACATGAACCCCCTCCATCTCTCGGTCATGTTTTAAATTGCTTGGCCACCATACTTTGGTGGCCACCTTTCTTTCGACCATAGCTCGCCATCACCGCCTCTCGTCCTACAACTCTATACAATCGAGCCTAATAAAGTTGGCCACCGTTCAAGATGGTTCCCTCCTTAATTCTGACCGTCAACAGAAGCCGAGGTAAACGACCCTAACTTTCTATTCCCATTTTCTGGTTCGAAACTATATTAGGAAAATGCCCTTGAAAATGAAAAAGAGATTTTTCATTGGTGTTATTTCTTGTGTGAATCGGATATGGGTAAGAGAATTGATTGAATCTTTTATTTCTTTTCCAAAACAGAAAAATATGAGAAATGCTTAGTTCTTTCTTTTAGTGCTTTGTATTGATCTTGAATGTGACTTACTGAAGAAAGATGAATGCTTAAGAGCCCACTCAAATTGTTTCCCCATCCCTTCTCAATTTTCAGTTTTAAATAACAATCGCAGACATACGAAACAACAAAGAAAACAAACTGAAAAATAAAAGAAATTGAAGAAGAATTCCTCGGAAAAACGTACCTTTACTGCTTTATCTATTTTTGAATTATAAGATTACACTACTATTTTCTTTCGTATCCTGTTTACACTGTGGAATTGCTGATAGTTAATTGGGTTCTTTGTTTTTTCTCCTCTCGTGGTGGTTCCTTCTTTTTTTTTATTGTCTCTCTTTTTCTGTAATTTGATGATAGTGTTCTGTGTTTTCAGTGGTTCCCCTTTTCTTTTTTTTTTGTTCTACCGTGTGTGTCTTTTTCTTCTAATCTCTGGTCCTTTTTTTTCATTTTTTAGTTCCCAGCAGTTAATTTTTATTTCAAAACAGTTTCCTCATTCTCTTGTATGCCTCCCCATTTCCCGTTTCTTAACTTCCCATAACCATTTCTATTTTACAGGGAATCATCATGTGGCCTACTCTGCTGGATCATTGGATTAGGCTTCCAACTGGTTTGGGTTATTCTTTAAGCCCACCATTGCTTCGGGTCTAATTCGGCTTAACCCCGGACAAAAACGATCATCTACACATGTCTTAAAAGGGGTTTTGCCAATGAAAATACCTATATTAAAGCATATGAAACACAGAATCAGTCCACAACTGCATACGCCATACCAATATTTCCTGAGCTGTGAAATCTTGAACGTTTTTGATGGATTCAAAGCTATATATGAGAATGAGGTTATGTTGTTTTCAAATGCAACCCATTCTAATTATATCAGTAGTTTCAGCATAGAAAATGGTTGATTCAACCATCATAAAGGCTTCCCTTATCATCCTACTTATTTTATCGGCAACTGCAATGAATTTAGAAGCAAAGAGTTATGGTGGCTGTAAGACAATGCAGAAAATAATGATTGATATGGTTCTATCCATTACCATTAAAATGAAAAAGAAAACAAATTAACTCAATTCCAAACACATGCACACAAAAATCAAAATTAAATTTCCCAGTAATCAAAGGAAATGAGAGGAAAAAAAGAAATTCCCAAAAAGAAAGTAGAGAAATACGTGTAAAAGAAAAGAACAAACCTTGAACAAAAAAGGAAGATTAGACCCCCATTTTTTCAAAACCTTGTGACCAAGCATATTCGGATTCTTCAAAATCCAATCTCTTAAACCCAAATTCCCACATTCTCCATTATCATCATCCATAAAACTTGGCTCTGAGTCATGGGTTCCCATCCAAAACTCAACATATTGCCTATCAGGCTCAATATTAGACCCAGAATTCAAAGCCAAAAGCCTCACCACCTATGCCTCCGTCCCACATCTTCCCCAATCATAGTTTTGAACCTATGCTCTTAGCCGCTTCACCTTTTTGACATTAGCCTTTGCCATTGTTGAACAGAACCCCCAGAAACGAAACTGATTTTGAAGAAAAATGAGAAGAGAAGAGAAGAGAAAGGGCTATGAGAGAATGCTAATACGGAAGGGAGGGGGCCTTTTTTTCTAGTATTTGAAAAGTTTGAAAGGGTACGTAGAGAGAGGGAAACAGACTGGAAAAAGAGATCGAAAAGAAGTGAAGATGAAAATTATGGGGGGAAAATTAAAAGATGACCTTTAGAGATGACACACAATGAAAAGTGTATTCTGTGTATTTGCTAAATTTTTTAGATTATGACTATTAAATATGACACACATTATTGTAAGTCATAAATCGTTAAGATTTTAAGAAACATGACATTTTTTTATGACACGCATGTTTTGCAAGTCATAAATTAGCGTGTGTCATCGTTCGTGTGTCATTAAAGGTATATTTTCTTGTAGTGATAAGAGCTAGGGGTATAGTTGGCATGCCAAGAGTCGAGGGTCTACGCGGTCCTTTGGGACATATATGTATCCTTTGGAACATCTATGAGGTCTTTTGAGACACATACTTGGTCCTTGGAATATTATGGATCTAAAGGAATTTTTTACGTGGTCCTTACGGATATCTTATATGGCACTTCGGTGCATTTCTACGCGGCACTACGGTGCAATTCTACGTGACACTTCGGTGCATTTATACAAGCTATGGTGACAGCATTAGTGCACAACCTCTATAGACTCACATATCTATAGTTCTCACATATGTACATGGGCTAACAACGAGATAACAATAAATATATCACATGTAATGTATATGCTTTTGTGAGATGAATGGTGTTATATGATTTATATGATGATGTGTGTATTGATTGGTTAAATGAATCATATGTTGATTAAAAGAATAGATATAAATGATAAAAATATTGATAGTGAAATAAGGTTAGAGATAAAATTAGGGTGTGATATGTATATGTGTATATTACATTGCATATAATGTGGTATTGTTTTGATGTGGCATCATGAGAGGATATGTTCATGTATGTTTATATAGTTAGAGTTCTTTTATAAGTTTAATGCCTCATTAAGTCATAGACTTAGCGTGTGAGTGTTTCACACGTAGGTTCCGAGAAGATTAAGGAGCTAAGAGGAGCAAGACATGTCAGTTCTCCTTACCAAAGATCAGATCAGAAAAGAATTAATAGTAGGTATTTTTGTAATACAAATTATGGTTGGTATGTAAATAAAGATTTAAATTCGATATGCTCTAATTGAGTTTTTGTAAAATCATAGGATTATAATTTATGCAAATTAGTCAGTTGTATTCAGAAAAAGTTTTAAAATTATTCACTATTTTGTACAAGTAAAGGTTTTGAAAAGTCAATGTAACACCTCAGACTCATATACGGGTAGGGTACGGGTTGGGGGTGTTACACAGATGGGCAGACTAAAAGATTAAACCTGTGTTTGGAACAATACTTGAGAAGTATGTGTTTCCATAAACCTGGTAGTTGGGCAAAGTGGTTACCATTGGTTGAATGGTGGTATAACACTAACTACCATATAACCCTAGGAATTACACCTTTCGAAGCATTGTATGGATACAAGCCTCCTATGATTACTTGGCCTAATGATACTAGTGTCAACACAGTACATGAGATGATGGTGGAAAGGGAACAGTTACAAAGAATACTTAAGGAGAATCTATCTAAGGCTCAAAATCGTATGAAACAGAATGCAGACAAACATAGAAGTGATCGAGAATTTCAAGAAGGAGAGGAGGTTTACCTCAAATTTCATCCCTATAAAAAGTCTTCATTAGCTGTCAGAAAGAATTTGAAGTTGGTTGCGAAATATTATAGACCTTACAAAATACAGAAAAAATAGGGTTAGTTGCATATCAATTAGAATTACCAGCACATTAAAAAATCCACCCTATTTTTCATGTAAGTCTATTGAAGAAGAAGGCAGGTGAAGGAGCAGTTACCTCGAAGAATCCTCCTGAATTAAGTGATGATGGACAGATGAAGGTGTATCCAGCCATCGTCCTTAATAAAAGGATAGTGAAGAGACAGAACCGAGCGGTCACGCAATTGCTGATACAGTGGTCAAATTTGGGGGCTGAAAACACGACTTGGGAAGACTATAATGTGCTGAAGTCTCAGTTTCTAGATTTTGATTCTTTGGGACAAGGATCGGGTGAAGGGGAGGGAGATGTTATGGACATGGCAGAGAAAGGGGCCAAGAAAAGGGAAATGTTAGGGATTTCTGTTGATGGATTAGGGATTTCTGTTGATGGATTAGGGATTTCTGTTGATGGATTGGGGGAAATGAATACTTACATGGAGCAGAAGAAACAATCTTATAATTTGGATCCAGAGACCCGCGTGGAGAACCAACAAGAGTCCAACTGTATCAGAATGAACTTGGCCTGTTCAGGAAGGAGCCACCAGTTTGGGCTTGCTGATGAACAACCCAACACGTGAATGAATGTTGGAATCAGTTGACTACCAGCTGTACAGAATAAATTCTGTTAGATTTGTTTGTACTGAATGAATATAAGGAGATATTGTACTGAAAAACAATCTATTCTGGCAATTAATGAAAATTTCATCTTTTCTCTCAACTCTACTCTTCTCAATTTCTCTAAATCCCTAAATTCTTTCTTGAATTCACTAAGGTTCATAACATAAAAGAGTGCCTCAAAATTTTATTACCAACCAAGAAAATCAGTACAAAATGAGCATTACAACACCACCACCACCTTACATCAGAAGAAACCTCTTAGAAAAAAAAACACAAGCTCATCCAATTCCTATCTTAGCTAATTCATCCGCTTCACAATTCACAACTCTACTGACATGTCTTACAATGACATTCCTATCTACTACCAAAGACCCAATTTCCTTCACTAGTGATCTAAATAAAGCAGGACAAGAACCCGGAATCTTGATCCAAACTAACGCTTTGCTACAATCACTCTCCAAAATAAGTCTTGATGTTTTCTTGCTTCAGTTTGGTTTAATTCGTTTTGTAAAGCCCTTATCCTCTGGTTGTGGAAACTTCCAATTCTGGTAATGGGAAATATAACTTTTACTTGACCATACTACATGCAGGTCATTTTGAAGCAGTACAGGGAAACTCATTGCCATTATTGCTTAAATGAACTACCAGCAGATATAATTCCCTGTGTTTCATGTTCATTGCCGTTATACCGTTCCCAGCGTTGCCAAATGCAAGCAGGTGGAAAAATACGCTTAAGTTATTCTGGTAAAATTAACATCCACAAAAAGAAGCCCAACTGTAATGAAGAGTGTCCAGATATAACTGGAGGCAGTGATTGAATTCCAAAACTTGACCACATTCCAGAACATAAACATGAATGTCAAGGTGTGCACTGGCCTGCAATATTGCCTTCTGATGTAGTTCTGGCTGGTCGAGTAGTAGTGAAATCCATGGAGCAGAAAGTACAATTTACTAATGTTCCTAATCTTTCGGAATTTTTGGTATATTCCTCAAGTTTAATGTGGATGTTAAGTTTAATTCTGTAATGGAAAACTAATGTCAAGGGTTGATATTCCAGCTTATGGCCTGTTGTTTTTCTCCTTGTAGGGGCTTTGTGAGAGTTATTCGAAAATGCCTCCAGAAAACAAATTGGAACTACATATATATTCCATTGTATTTTTATTTTGTCTCCAACGCTCTTACAGTTTGGTGATGTCAATTAATGGAAACTCTACATCACAGGTCCTCTATCATTCTTTCTCTTATATCCATTTATATTTAGTGGGAAATTATTCTACAATCTCAATAGTTTTCTTTCTACCATTAAGTATAGTCTTACTGTACCTTTTAACCTCTTCCTGTAATTGCCTTTTTAATGCTTGATTCTGTTCACCTTAGCTATGAAATTGAGACTGATAACCGTTGTTTTGCTATCAAAATAATTTCCGACTTCTTAATAAATAAAAAGGAAAAGGTAGTATAGAGAAACATGGTCGATTCACAGGGACTGTGATGTTTCTGATATAATAAAACTCTTTCTTGATTTTATAAGAAGATAAAATTTCAGTTGAAGTTGAAAAGATATATTAAAATAAAATACATAATAAAAAAGGAAAAATAATATAATAATAAATATTAATAGTAATAAATATAAAATGGGATTTTTAAAAGTTGTTTTTAAAATAAAAAATAAGAATTAAATAAAAGAAAAATAATTAAATAAACAAATTAAAGAGATTGAGATAAAAGGAAACTTATTGTGAAAGGAGCCTCAGACTTCAGCTTTGTCTCAAATTCATCAGATCATCGAAACAGATTTTTACTTCAAGATTCACGTCAGCTTACAAGGACAAATCTTAATTAAAACACTTAAAACTATTTAAACTAAAATACCTAAAACAAATATAAAATATAAAAATAATATCCTAAAACTTAATTAAAATACTAAAACCTATTTAAACTAAAATACCTAAAAATAAGATAAAATATAAAAATAATATCCTAAAACTTAATTCAAACACTATAACCTATTTAAACTAAAATACATAAAACAAATATAATATTTAAAATATTATCTTAAAATTTGAGTTTAATTCAAATCCGAATTACAGCAAACTTTGATTTCGAAAATAAAAAAACTGCAGAATTGTGTCATTTTTGTGCAATTTTTAGAATCTTATGTCATGTACAGAAAATGAATTAAAATGAACAAATAAGCCACAAAAATCAAT